ATCATCAAGAATGAGATTAGAGATACACCACGTATTTAGAAAACAAATATTAGCACATGGAAATAGGGTAGGGTTCATTTTCTTCCTCTTAACTGAACTAAAATAGGCATTACACCAGGACAATCTTCATTAGGCCATATGATAAAAATAGACACTATAGGAGACATATTTCCAGTATACAATCTGATAAAAAAAATAGATGATATTCTAGGCCAATCCATTTGACATAATTTGACATTTCAGAAGTGGGTTTTGAACCAACAGACATAAAATGTAATCTACCATCCTTTTAGGGTTTGTTTAAGGAAAATTCAGGACCTAGAGACAAGCTTTTGGGTTGGAAGTGCATTCAAAGACCTTTGGGGGTGAAGACATTCCCCTTTTGTTTTGGTTTTTTTTTTTTTTCATTTCAATGCACTTGGGGTTCAACTCGGCAGTCGTTGAGTTGCAAATCCTTCATGCCTCCAAAAAGGGAATAAAGAAAACACCCTTTCATAGGTGAATTGCTCAAATGATGGCACCATTCATACACTTGACGAGGCTCTACCTTTTATCCTTTATTCCTATGATGAAGCAATGATACCAATGAATAACAATTATAATGGTAATAGTAATAATAATACTAAGAACAACAAAACATGACTACTGCCACTACTATTACTACTACCAACTCATGGAACCAACAATAAAACTGATCATGGCAAAGCACACACACCTTCCCCAGTGTGGATGAATGAGAAAAAGCATGATGATGTACAGTGTGGATGAATGGAAGAGCAGGCATGGGGGGGGGGGAGATCCTGCTCCGTCCATAGGGGCTCTGTAAATGGACGGGGCAGATCAGTCGTGGTCACCACCTGCCCCACACAACTTGCTTGAACATGAGAATGGGGCACAATCAAAGATAGGCATCCATATTGATGGTGTTTCCCCAAAAGTACTCCTCAACTTTCACCATTTCTTAATTTATTTATTTTTTTTTAATTTTTTGTTTTTAAGAACGAAAGAGTGATGCTCCATTTATTATTACTTTTCAACACAGCATAGTTTATAAAATGTGTGATTTATAGGAACATGGTAGTTGATAGTTGCCATGATGAACTTTCATTGTCTGTTTTTTCTTTTCTTTTCTTTCTTTGGGTGGAGAGAATGGGAATTGTAAAGATGATGAATGGAAGAAACATGGTGAATTATATATTTTTCTACAGTGATTTTTTTTTTTTTTTTTTTTTTTATTCAGTTTACTGTAAGAACCCTCTTTTCAACCCACAATACATGCACAAATGCTAAAAATTGAAGGCTCAAGTGGGCACAATACTTGGGCTTCAAATTTTATTGAATTCAGTTTTTGTTTTGTTTTGTTTTGTGTTTGTTATTACCATGTGGTTCTGATGTAACAATGCTCTTGTACACAAATGATGGAGCGATAAGCAAGAGAATGATATACACTGATTGCCCAATTTAAAAAAACACACACACACACACACAAGAAAAAACTTATTATTATAATAATATATTACAAAGCGTGCACCAAATGCTATTTAGGAATGGCAGGACTGTTTCACAAGGACACGATTGAAGAAGTGCATCATTTTGATTGTCGCTTCATTGAAGAGACAACTGTATCACACTAAACCCTCATCATCATCATCATCATCATGCAGCAAATAACTAATAAAAACCTCACTACCAATATATCCAAATAAATAATAATAGTAATAATAATGAAGAAGGAGAAGAACCCAAAAGGAACAAGTGTGAAAGGAGACCACCCTTTGATGGATTTTATTTTGTTGATGTTTGCCAATACTTTGGGCTCCAATGGGGCATCATTGATGATGTGGCAGACCACATACATTCATTCCCATGAGACTCTGCCCATTAAATAAGTCCCTCCCTTATGGATGAGGTTACAAACGAATGATAAAATACAACCCTAATTGGATGAATATACGAGGTATGCATCCCTCACTCACCTACACCTTTGGGGCTCCATTTTGACAGCCTGGGCAGCATTACCAGATCCAACGGTAGGGATTGCAAAGACGTGGCTCAATTCTGGCTGTTTCTGTCTCTCAAGGCCTCACATCTTTACCCCACCCCCCCCCCACAAAATAATATAAAATATAATGGATCCTCTCCGTGGATATAATGGCACAAGAATATAGAATCCTGCCAGGGAACAAACCTTTGTCTATAATTAAATATTTTTATTATTACAAATATTTTTTATTATTTCACTCTATCTTCAAGCCCACTTCTCATCGTGAGGTGGGTTAGAGGAGCTCTTTTGCAAGTTGGCCACTAATTCAGTCTCTCTGAATATGGAATTAGTTCAATGCATGATTTTTGTTGCTGCCAGGTCGGATCCTTAAAAAATAAAAAATAAAAAATAAAAAACTGGTCCTTGTCTCCTGCAGCCACCTCAACAACCAAGTGACAAGAGCAAAATCAGGACAATCTCTTATTTTTATTATTGTTATTATTATTAATATTATTGAGCTCATTTTATTCATTTTAAAGAGTAACCACAAATCAGGACCACCAGCACAGACATCCACTTCAAAAGGTCTGCAACTTTTTACTTTCATCCCTCACATCGTATGTGTGTTTTATGGTCAGATATTACTTTCACACTTTTTTTTTTGTCTTTTTTTTTCGTTTTTTTTTTTTTTTTTTTTTCCTTTTGTAATATACTGTGTTCTTGTGTTCAGGAGAACAGGAGAAGATGGAAGTTTAGTTGCATCATTCAATGAGAGTCACAAGATGGGATGTTTCCGAAGAAGGAAAAAGTGCTGAGTACAGGTAGATTGTGATTTTTAGTTTGTGCCAGCATGGCCATCATGCATGTGCTCCAAGCTCATCAAGCAGTTTGGGCACACCACATAGGATGGATGTACTCAAGTAGATGATAATGGTGTCATCCAGGTGGATGGATGATATATGTTTGGTACGATATATAGCACAAGAGGGGCTACCAAATCCTGTGTGCATGTAAAAGTGGGTTACCTAACATGGGATTGAATGAGAGACTACTCATTTGTGCATGTGCCACAAACAATAGATGCTTCCACCAGGTTTTAGGTAGGGCACAAATTATTTTTATATATTTTTCCTCTTTAGTGAATTCCTGGGACATTTGAAAGTTAACTTTTGTACCTCTAGGATCTCTCTCTCTCTCTCTCTCTCTCTTCATTTCCACATTTTTTTATTTTATTTTATCATGCACAGTAAATATTGTGTATTGTGATTTGATGAGGTTTTCCAGTGCATCATAGTGTGTATATTGTTTTGAAACTGTTTGTGGGATGCTATGGGTTGGATTAAAAGCTAGTTTGTTTATTATTGATACCATTGATTTTATGGAAATTTCAAACATCGTTCATTTAAAATGAAAAAAACAAGGAATCTCAAATCTGATGTTTAAATATATATACAGAAAGAGCTCATGATACATTTACCAAGAAAAAGAGAAAATATATTCTAATTGCAATCAATATTTTTTGAGCATTCTCACTTTACATAGTTATGAAAAATAATCTGGTGCAATTACAATGCACCAATTTTTAAAATGATGTAACAATCCTTTAGAAGAGTTGGATTTAGTTGACCCTTCTTTAGTGCTAATGATATTGTTGCAATTACATGCATATCTATTGCAAAAAAAAATAAAAAATAAAAAATGGTGCTTATTGATTTATTTGGAATTGTGACAAAATGATTTTCAATCAAGCAAACAACAGAAAACTATCAACACTTGACAAGCTTAAATATACTATTTTATGTTGGTTATGCACTGGTGACTTACACAAAAGGTCACATGCACAGATCTTTATACAATCCATTGCATACATGACAGACTTTGTGAATCATTTGTGCTCTACAACATAAATCAAGTGTATGTTTTTAGCAAGAATGTCCTTATCACACATTCAAGATCAAAATCAATAATGGAGTTCTATAAGATAAAATTCATGGACGAGGGTTCTATGAACAAAAATGTTCCAATGTTCACATGAAAGACCGTTCCCCTAAATGTTTCACCATGCATAGATACATGCCAAGTAGCATGGGTTGACCTGATTTCACTCACTCAATCCTAATAAAGGAATGTGTTCTTCAACACTTTATTTTATCATTGTTATCATTATTATCATCATATCATGTGTCTCTTAGCAAAGAATCAAACTGAAACACACCATTTTTTACAGTAAAAAAAAATCAAAGAGAATGGGCATGCAAGGAAAGGGCTTTGCAAAGTGTATTCACAACATGGGGAACCATTGGTACAAGCACCTTGTTGGTACCATGTCCTTGGGCACATAGATCCCATACCTTCCTAGTGAACTGACCCATGTGTTTTTCTTTTACATCCTTCAGTCCTTGGACAAAAATAGGGGATGGTGAAGACATTTGTGAATGATGGGGTTCCATATGCTCATACAAAACACCATAAGACCCACAACATTTCTTTCATGCTTCTACTACTATCCCATATACACACACACATGCACACGATTTGTTTGAGCATATGTTCGTTGTTTGGGTGTCTATTTTCAAAACCATGCAACTGAAAGAGGAACCCCCAAAAAGGAAAGAAGGAGAAACAGAACCATATGTGATGGGGTGGGGGAGCTAGAATTACCTTGTAGTGAGCAATTTTGTACAAGGAAAGAATCACATATAAAAATAGAGGGCAAGAGGGGGGAGTGGTTAAAATAGGATTAAAGTGACCAGCACCAAACAGCCACCCAACAACCACAGCTTTGCTTGCACAAGATGGTGAGGAAATGACAAGAATAGTCCTCCAAAATGTCAACTGAGGAAGAGGGGGGGTGAGGGGCGGAGGAAGAGGATTGTCAATGGGGCGCAAGAGTGAAGAGTGAAGAGTGAAGCTTCCTTGACAAGGCCAAATTAGGGTTCGAACGAAATTCAGGTGGTTGGAATTAGAAAACGTTGTGGGGAGAGAGACAGACACCATCTCCGCTTCTTCTTACAACTGTAGGCATCGCGGTGGGGAACGGAGATGGGATCGCATTGGGAACTTCGTCTTCCTCGCGTAAAGCCAGCCCCATTCCGGCGCTGTCATCCCGCCCTTTGCTAATGGTAGAGGAGGAGGTCCCGAGCAAGAGAGTGAGTGAGAGAGTGAGTGATAATGAGGCCCCGGGGGGTTCAACACGGGACGTTTGACTGGTTGACGCGGCCTCTCTCGCCTTCCTTGATGGCGGGGTAGAGAGCCATTGAAAGAAATGACTTTCTGGGCTTAGTAACGTGTGAGAAGTTATTCCAATGCGTCTGGTGTTGGTATGTGCATTGCAAAGAGTAGTGTGACAGGGAGGGAAGAGCGAGGGAAGAGGAAGGGGAGAGAGAGAGAGAGAGAGAGAGAGAGGGGGGAGGGGAGGGGGTTATGGAGATGCTGGATCGTATGGCAGCGTGGAGGAATGTTGCAGCGGAGATGTTGCTGAGAGAAGGTGGAGGTGATGGTTTGTACGAGGTCTTGATGTAGGGGTAGTAGGGTTTGAGAAGAGAATATGAGGCTAGAGGATGATCGGTATCGTGTGAAGCAGCGGGAGGCAATGGTGTTTCAGGGTGCGAGGGTGGATCCTGGGGTAGAATGGGGTTGGGGAGGAGAGGGTGTGGGTGGTAGAAGCATGAATATTAGATCAGGGACAGGGAAGCAGTTTTATTTGGAGGAGCGGTTTCTGATCAATCCGAAGTTGCTCTTTGTTGGGCCTAAAATCGGAGAAGGTGCGCACGGGAAGGTGTACGAGGGGAAGTACTTGGATCAGAAAGTGGCAGTTAAGATTTTACAGCCGACTGAAAATCCTGACGACCATGCTAAGATGGTGGCGGGGTTTGTGCGGGAGGTTGCGATGTTGGCAAGAGTTGAGCACAGGAACTTGGTTAAGTTTGTGGGAGCATGCATGGAGCCTGTGATGGTTATTGTTACCGAGCTCATGGAAGGGCGATCACTGAAGAAGTACATGCTTGCATTGCGGCCTACTTTGTTGGATTTGAGGTGCTCGGTGAAGTTCGCTCTCGACATCGCCCAGGCCATGGACTGCTTACATGTGAATGGAATCATCCACCGAGACCTGAAGCCTGATAACTTGCTGTTGACGGCAGATCACAAAACTCTGAAATTAGTGGATTTTGGACTTGCCAGGGAGGAAACCCTCGCGGAAATGATGACCGCGGAGACGGGGACTTATAGGTGGATGGCGCCAGAGCTTTACAGCACTGTCACCCTCCGCCATGGCGAGAAGAAACACTACAATCACAAAGTGGACGTGTACAGTTTTGCAATTGTGCTGTGGGAGCTGCTAGCTAATAGGATGCCGTTTGAAGGCATGTCTAATTTGCAAGCAGCCTACGCGGCAGCCTTCAAGAACACAAGGCCAGTTATTCCTAAGGGTATTCCTGAAGACCTTGTGTTCATCCTCCAGTCGTGCTGGGCTGAGGATCCTGAAGTGAGACCTAATTTCGCGCAGATAGTGAGAATGCTGACCGCTTATCTAAGCACTCTTCACGATCCTGAGAAGGCGCTTCCTAGTACGCCGAAGAAAAATGTTAGTAGTGACAAGAAGTCCGGGGCTACAGAGAAGAAATCCTCGAAGTCGGGGAAAGTCTCCCCGAAGGTGGTAAAAAGTCCTCCGAAGGCGGGCAAGGAGTCGCCTAAGTCGGGGAAGGACTCGCCCAAGACGAAGTCCAAGCCTCTCCAGGAAACAGCTCCAGTAGTTGTGGTGGCTACCAAGGGCAACAGCCCCAAAAAGGACCCTACCTATACCAAGTCGCGGAAAGATGACCCCTTCTCTGATACGGAACCAGCAGCTGAGAAGCCAAAGAGTATGTTTCACTGCTTCAGTTCATGCTCATTCTGGGGATTGTGTTGAAGTGATGATCCTTTTTTTATTCGTCCAACCTTCTCATTCGCGGCGCTTGTGACCTCTTGATTCAACACCTTCTATTTCGTTGAGTTCCTTCGCTGTTGCGAGAAGCTTACGTGGGGGTGTGAAGGAGTACAGCGCGTCGAATGCGAGCAGTTAAGTGAGGATACGAGACGACTAGATCCTCTGATAATGAGGCAATTGTGTCCCATTTCAATCAAATCCAAGCAGACGTTTGTAAAAAAACTTCAAAGCCAGGGTGCACACCTTGTTACGTGCTTCCTTTGAGCTTCATTGGTTTCTACCATGCTTGTCTATCCGGCAGCAAGTATATGAGGAGACGAGGTAAACTTGCCGCAAAGTGATGGCCATCTCTTCATGGCACCGTAGCATGCAGGCTTTTAGATTAGGTACTAGCAGTAGATCATGTATTAGACTTACTTCGTCGGCAGACATGGATGTTTCCGATATATATATATATATATATATATACATTTCAGTGCTCCTTTTGGATATCAATTTTTTTGGTTCAGGTTTCCTCATACTTGTGTAGTTTTCTATCTTTCACAATTATAAGTCGTCCCACCATTCTATATGAAGCACTGGCGCATTGCATATCGATTTTCGTATTCGCATTGTACTATCTTTCGTTTCTGGTTATTACTTGTTTTGCTAAGAACAATTTCAACACTAGGAACTGCGTATTTTAATGTTCCGGGCTCTGAATTTGTGGGTACAGATTTGTCCCTTTGCCAGACTTTTTCTTGTTTTTGTTGAAGCTGGTGAATTTCCTATAGAAGGAATTACGTCTGAGTAGTCGTTGGATTTGGTCGTATGTTACACATTGTTTCGACCGGTGACAGTAGTGTCCGGTTCGTGAGGTTTGACTGGGAGATGAACTGCGTCACAGGACAGCGCACTGATACAAGTCCTTAATGGAAGCTACTTCTGTACTGTAAAAGGCTGTATGCCAGAAGGTTGCTTGCTGTTCCGTTGATCCTGTGCATGGCATGTGTACAAAATCTGTTTATTTATCACCTTTTTAGTGGAACCTTGACTTGAGAATCACAAATTGTTTTGTGAAACGTGATTCAAAGTCCGGGAGTCAGTGCAGATCCTGACTCACTGCTGACTTTGAGAGGGTTTGCATATCGTTCGATCAGAAAAGCAGCTGTTAGTCGTCAATTCTATCGGAATTATTGGGCAAACCTACCGTAGCCTCTTTAAGAGCCTTCCCACTGGTGAAAAAAACGTTGGCGGTATTACTATGCCTTTCGATAAAGAAAAGAATTTCCCCTCAGTTCCCAGCAAATGCCTCGTCAGCAAAGAGATGTATACTGTAAATGTTTTTCGCGTGCCATCATGCTGCTGTATCTGTTGATTTTTCTGTGCAACTTCTTACTGCCTTTGTTTATTTAACAAATGCGTGTTTTTCTTTGCATTCTAAAAGAGAATCGGTAAGTCGTGCACAACTTGTAGGAAACGATGTTATGGCCTCAATCCTGACTGTAAATTTTCAACGATTCGATCTTGATCCTTCAAAATCCTAGGATTGCAGGTTACCGACAGCTTGGTGTTTTGTTGAAGAGAAAATCTGCAAGTGGGAATATGCACTGCCATGGATAATTTGAATACTGTGTGACACACTCATGTAGGTTTTCATGTAGGTGTTGCCCATGCCTATGTTCTGACGCATTGGCGAACCTTTTCAGAGGCAAAGAAAAACACATATTCATAATGAAGTCCAAGACGTTCTAGGGCTCTGTGCTTTGAGTATCCTACATTTGTTGCAAGTTGCAAGTTAGTGCCCTGGTGACGCCATTCATTAGTTGTGGACTTCTCATAACCCTTCCAATAGGCTATGCTTTTTACAGAACAGATTCGCAGACCACTGTCAGATTTGCAGAGCTTTCGTAACACTGAAGAGTAAAGTCATGGGAGTCAATGGACGAAAACTAAAGCAGTGGGATACGTCACCACAGCTTACTGCAAATATCTTTGAAGGCTGTTGCAAATACTCATTGCTTGCTTACGATTTTAGAAAGGTTTCAGTTACATCAAATTGAAAAGATCGGTCGTTTTCTTCTGACGTCCCTGCAGAAAGCCTCTTGTAAACAATCATGTTTCGTAGATGCCTGTAACGATTTGGGGGGGGGGGGTCTCACTGCGGTAAAGTTGACAACAGTCATGCAGCAGTTTTTCACATCATGAATAAGATGAACTTTGTGACTCCGAGCTTGATTCCTGGCTATTTTTACATGAACGGCACCTAGATGTGCGTGGTTACCTCAACAGGAAACTGTACAGAGTCCCTCAGAATGTGCGCTGTTTTCAGCTGCAATAAAGTCTGAACATACATTAAAAGAAACCTACCCCTGAGGTTTGCAAGCACGTCCATCTTCATGCGGTAACTTGAGTCGATTTGTTTTCTTCGATTGGGCTGTGCTGCAATGAATGCCCTAAATGTATCCGTAGATGCATCTCGGAGGAACAAGTGGACTGAAAAACAGACAACCGCGTCACTCACTTTCATCTAAGGTGAACGTAATGCCCCGGCATTTGTTTTTCCTCTACAAGATTCGGTCAGGAACCTAAAAGCAGATGGTGCTTTGATTCCTGCTTCTTCTCCAAAAGCAAGGCTTCCCAGATGTCGTCTGCTTTGTGTTGCTCGTTGTTCTGTAAGCACCGCATGTTGTGCATACAGAGCCCGCATTTAATCTCTCACCGTTACTCATAAACTCGACTCCCAACTACCCATCACAGAGTTCAATGCAGAGGGCTCTTGCTGACTTTGATTGCACTCTTTGCCGTACCGGAATTGCTTTGGGTCATGCCGACTTTGTTACCTGAGGGGAATTGCGACCGCTACCCGTGAATTCAGGCAGTAGGTGGCTCCGTTGGAGTTCCTTCAAGTGCGGTGTATAGTACGATTCCTTCCAACTTCACGGAATTCTAGAACGGATAAACCAGTGATACAAGACAATGTTTATTTCTGTGATAACCGATGGATGAAGCATTCGAAACGTAGTCGCAATTTATTTGCATGAGTCAGATCTTTGTCTGTGGGTTGAAAAAGCGTCTCAGCTTCTCAATTCAAGCCACTATGCATTCACAAGCTGAGTTTGGCTTTTACCCGGGTTTTGACTAAGCAATTATATGGCGTGTACACATCAGGCAGCTGAGTGCATTTCTTACCAACAATGTCGATGAAGATTTCGAGAAGCGACCCTGGAGGCGAACTGCTTGCGAATACCTGTAAACCCTAGAAAACAGCGCATGAGAGCATGCATAACCTTCACATTGAGCCTGCATTCCCACTCCGACGCTCTCAAATCTGAAATGTAGGTAGTGGCCAAACCTGCTAGATTCACACAGCAACTCCATTACCCAAACTATGTACGATTCTTCATTACAAAAGCTCCAATTCAATCCTGAGAAACAGTTGGTGTCACGATTACGTGGATTCCAAAAAGCAACGTCAGTGTGATTTTTTTAAAAATAAAAAGTGAGGTGGGTCCCCTAGAAATTCTGAAAGAGCTGCAAAATACAACGTAAAAAACTTATTGTCTTGCTCATTTTCTTCCATATTTCGCAAGCAATCAAGCGACAATACCCTCAGTCGAAGTCGAGCAACAGCACCGACGCAAAGTAAACTCACCTCATGCACCTACCGAAGCATTGTCAATATCATCACCAGTTGATACACGACAGAAACAGCTCCTCCCGCTGTTGCCGCTGTTACGTTCAGGTGAGTCAATCCTCCAACTGCTCCGGCGCTTGCTTTTTTTGTCTTTTTTTGTTTCTTTCTGTGTTATTTTCCTGATTGTGCTTGTGATTTTGCAACCCCCCCTCCATTGCGGAGATCAAGTCCACAACCACGCAGCTCCTGGTAGCCTTGGCACATCAGCTGTGTCGGTGCCATAAATGAGCAACAAATTAAGCAAATCGTGTGGTCCATCATGTCCATGGCTTCGCTTAGTTATTGCCAAAATTGCGGGTGGATCTGGCGGAGAGCACTCATGCACGGTGATACCCTACCACCGGTTGAAATCCCTACTTCCGATGAATGGACGTGGAAGGTCAATCAAACAATCAAAAATAAATTTAGGGGAATGTTAAATCGATGCTTCAAAAATTGGATTAAAATGTATTATGATTTAATTTTTTTTTGAACGATACAATTTTTGAGTTTTGAATATATATTAAATTCTTGATTTTTTAAAAATAAATATTTTGAATATTTTAAAATACATAATTTTCTTCTTAACTGGATTTTTTAACATGCAAATACGTGTTTTAAATTAAAACTGAGAGATTTTTAAAAATATTATTAAAAAAAAGAAGCTATCCTTGGTGTTATGCATAAATGTAGATAAACTTGAATAAAATTGTGACATCAGCTTTATTAATAGGTATTTGAATAACAATAAAATTAAACTATATTAAATATATATATATATATATATATATATATATATATTTGATATTTTAAATAAAAAATTAGAGTTTATTTATTTATTTTATAATTTAAAAAAATATATTAATGAATGAATATATGTGAGAGTAAAATCCACCCTTTGATTTAAATTACTTAAGTACTATTAATTAAGTGTTGCCCTTAAAGTTAAAAATAATATATTAAATTAGGATTTTGTTATTGATACTAAAGACTTGTAGTTTAATTATATAGTAGAAAATCACAATGGTTTAAAGTATACAAGAAAAAGAAATAGAAGAGAGTGGTAATTTATTCTAAGAGTAAGTTCAGCTGATTATAGATTTGGATTCTACTAATTCTAATAAGTAGTGTAAAAATGTGTCTTAAAAGGCCTTAAGGCCTTAGTTATACGTTACTATCTTAAACCAAGGTGCAACAATCTATATATAAATTATTTACTTACTTCTACACAAGCTATTTTTCAAACAATTTTTTTTACAATAACTTTTATTATATTTTTATATTTGACTGTACAATGGTACTAAAAAGATCTAAATAACTTTAGAATATTGGAAGACCTATAAGGCTTGCTCTAATTCTCTATAATAGCATCCAGAAATTGAAAAAGTTTTATCTTGTGAAAATAAAAAATATATTATAAAAATCATCCTTAAAATTTGAATAAATTTTCTTAAGTATATCAATACTTAAAAAATATCAGTTTGAAAATAAAGTCACTTTTTCATATTTTTAATAATTTTAATGGTTAAAATAAAAGCATCTTCCAAGACTTCTTAAAATTTTATTATTAATATTTATAAATTTATAAGAATTTTATAATTTTAAATATATGTATATATTTTTTTTATGATTAATTAGAATAATTAGTAAATATATAAGTTATACTATTTTATATATAAAAATAAATCAAATCAAAGTATTTGTCAATCTATCAATTAAGTTAAATTAATAGAATTCATAGTGGTTCTAATAAGACAAGTAAATAGTTACTCTTTTAGCATTTATCTTTATATTTTGGTGATGTATCTTTGAAGTACATATCTTACTTTTGATTATTCTAAAATGACATAGTTTATTTTATTGATTTGAATGTTATTATAGAAAATTAGATTCATAATGTCTTACAATAGTAAATCACTT